CTTGCACTTCTATTCACTTAAAGCTGATGCTGCAAGTAAAACTGACACATTTTTACAGAGAAGTCAAAAAGTCTTCAACCTAAATTAGATTGCCAAAGACCTCAGTACAAGTACCAGGAGGACAGATTGGCAGAGTAAATCAGCTGTCCTTATTGTTAGATTCCTCTCACTGATCGTGGTCTAATAATAGGTCATATGTGGACAGGATGGACTCCCACATATCCACACAGTCCAGATTGTCCTCCTGAGATCCAAAACATCCAATTCCATATATATTTTAATTAGAAAGGTTGACAGACAACTCGGACTCACATTTGAAAACTGAACTAACTCTTGATCTTTTTTTCTAAAAGGTCACACTCATCCTTATTCTCAGTAAACACACAGTGCATACATGATGCTGATTTCAATGATATGACAGTCATCTCTGACGCCTTTCTCTACCTCTAGTCCACCCGTCACATTTACCACTTGATACATGATGTAAATGCATCTGATCCTCCACATGGTTAGTCCCCTAACTCAGCTTTCATGGTCTCTCACCTGGACTATTACAGTAACCTTCTAGACAGTTTCTTCATATTTACTTTGGTGCCTTTCCATACTGTTTTGGTGCTTTGGTGATTGTTGTCTCAATGTGGACTTGAGGTTTCATAGTGTCAGTTCCATGCTTGAAATCTTTAACTGTCTTTGCACAGACCTTAGGAGGTTATTGATGGTTCAAATGGCCTACCTTTGCAGCCTCGTCTCTGTTCTCAAGGTTTTCTGTTTGCACTGCGCTCAGTGCCTTCACCCAGACAGTCTGTCTTGCCTGGAATGCTCCCCATCCTATAATCAAAGTGGAGATCATTTCTGTTAATGCTCTATTCATATCATTTTTATACCTTATATTTCTATGCTTATCTCTAAATTTTAATGACATGCATTATGGTGATAATTTGCTTAATATTTACCACATTCATTAAAATGTAAAGTTTTTGAGAACATGAAATATAGTCATGGTCATAAGCTAAGATTTAAAGTTGTTTAAAGTTGGCCAGGGGCCACATTCAATGAGAAAGAGAGAAAGAAAGAAAGAAAGAGAGAGAGAGAGAGAGAGAGAGAGAGAGAGAGAAAATCTTAAGCTATTCTGATTTTGTCTTGGATACAGCAGAGAATTACTGAAAATTTCTATGTGAATTAGTAATGTTTACATTTGGGCTCAGCAAGGTCTTTTTGATTTCTTAGTGGGATATGGATCAGAAAGGCATAAACTGAAGGTCAGAAGATTAGCTAAGTCACTGTTGAAATGATTCAGATGGAACTATTGAAGGACTGAATTATGGCACAGCAATGCCAGAAGATAAAATATATCTAATGAAATAGAATAATGTGTCCATCAGTGATATGGTTCCCTAGGAAGCTGGTTGTAAGGTAGAGATCAGTGCATTATGTTTTTAATGGGATCAACACCTGAGGAGGAAAGAAGGGAAGGAAGATGACTGATCATGGAGAGAAGTCCAGTCATGGTGAAGACCCAATGAAGGCCCTGCTGAAGCTGGAATCACCTCTTAGACTTAACCTATAGTTGGGCTATCAGGATTGATCTTTACAACCCATTATCCATCAGTCACTGGATGGGGATTGACTCCATGAATGGAGAATGATTTGAACAGATGTTTGTTTTCAGGCAACATCTGAAGGAGGCTGATGCAGCTGGACAGGGAAACCTAGTGCAACACTCACAGTGTCTATCCCAGGCTCCTTTTTGATTGAAGAGACACTGAGAAATAAAAAATAAAATGAACAGAGAATAGTGAATAGAGAGAGGCCTGGACTAAAGGTAAGAGTTTCCTAAGTTGTAGCCTTGCAAGAAGTAGTGGACACAGGGGCCACGCATGAGACTCTGTATAGACAGTGTGTGAGTAAGAAGAATACTGAAATACATGTGGAACCCTGGAGGAAACAAACATGGTTAAGGGCATTTATTGAAAAAAAAATGTCTGATAATGAGCAGGTAGAGAAATAATGGACACGCTAATATAATAAAGCAAATAAGACAAATATTGAAGAACTGAATTATGGCACTGCAATGCAAACCTTTTCTGAGTGTTTGCTTAGGACAGGTACTTTACACAAAATCCATAAATTAGATCTTCAGTCTTATTAGGTTATTATTATTATTATTATTATTATTATTATTAACCTTGCAATTTCACAAGGTTCAAAAACATACTCAAGATGAATGATTAAAACATCAAGTGAAGACTGAATCTCTCCCAAAGCACATGTTCTTTACTTCCCCATAAAAAGAGAGGCACTGGTGATCACTTTTACAGAAAGGTCCTATAAGAAAAAAATATGGAAGCATTATTTAGAGGCTTGAGTTAGAATGTCCAGGAAGTCTGTAGCATTTCTAGTAAAGTGTTCATGGTGGCAGAGTTCAATGTGTGGAGCAATTAAAAGTGGTGTGAGTAGACCAAAAGATACACAGGGTACATAGCAGAGAGTGCAGACATGGGATTTCAAAATGGATTGCAATTCAGTAAGTTTATTTTATTTTTTAAAAGAAATATTTATTCATTCATTTGTTTGTTTGTTGTGAGGCTGAAGATTGAACCCAGGGTTGCTTTACCAATGAGCTACACCCTCTGTACCCCATCCCACTTTTTTCCTTCTTTTATGAAGTCCTTGGTATCAAACCCAGGGCCTTACACATGCCAGGCAACAGCTTTACATCCCCAGCCCCTTTACCCTTTTTATTTCTTTTATTTTGAGAGGCTGCCCTCAAACTTGCTATCCTCCTGCCTCAACCTCCCACGGGGATTATAGACATTCACCCCCTATGTCCAGATAATGTTTTTATTTTCTGAAGAACAATTCAGAAATAGGGAGAGGGCATATGTACAACAAGGGAGGGAAAGACTGGTGGATTCAGGGCAGCAGAAGCGGTAGAAGGGGATGAGAGTTACAGAGAGGCTGGAGAGGAAAGCAAATTCTCCCTCTAAGTGTAAAAGAGAAAAAGTCAAGATGGCTCTGACAATTGACTGGCTGTGAGGGGCAAAAGCTAACACTCCTGAGTTATTATGTTTCTCAGATTGTTCTTATATTCAGGATATACCTCCATAGTCTAAGTAGACATATGCCCTGACTTGTGTTACCAGATATCCTTACTGGTGGAAAATCAAACAATTGAAAAAGAATAGCAAACTGGAAACTTCCAGGATAAAGTAAAGATGGGACTAAAAATGAGATGGAACTAGGAAGAGGAACTAGATTGGGGAAGAGCAGCTGGAAACCCTAAGTCAGAGTAAGGTTGGGAAACTCTGGTAGGGCAGGAACAGTGAAGGCTGTGACTCAGAAGCCCAGCACCCAGGGCCAAGGAACTCTGCATCCTGAGCTGCTGTAGGGAGCTTTCTGCAGAAAAGTCATCTATTTTCTGGGTGATTGCTTTCCTCAGAGAGGGTGTTCCCAAACCATCCATGTTGAATATGCAATGGTCTCCATAATTCTTAATAAGTGGGCTTTCTAAATCTGGGTAGTACTGGACCACCCATTCACTCTTTGACCTGCGACTGAAGGAAATGGAGGACAGTTGTAATCTGCAGTGTCATCCAGGTAAAGAATGTTGCATGTGCTTGTTTTTGAGTAGTTTCTAGTCTTAAGACAGATTCCTGTGGGATGTAGAAGAGATAAGCCCATGCTTTCCAGACAAAGCCCCCAATCTCTGGGTGGTGGTAGGTAAGGGGTAGTCAAGGATGCCAACTCCACTCTTGAATTTTGAAATAATCTCAATTGAGTTTTTCCCCCTTTGAGAAGTATTTGAGAAACCGTAGAAGGGGCAGTGTTAAATTTTGGATTTAGTTCTCTTTGTGTGAAAAGGTTTGGAAAAGGCATCTCTCCCTCCTAGTTCTGAATCAGACTAAACAGATGGGGACAAGTACAGTGGGCTGGAGGTTTTGTCCCTGGGTTGAGTAGCACACAGCTAACTTCAGCCAAGCACCCTCCAGACCTCATGTTGTACATCTGGCAAATGAGCAGCTTGAGATTTGCAACCTTGAAGACACATTCCAACTCTAAAAGTCTCTATGATCTGAATTTTAAGTATCATAGTCCCTCTAAAATTCTATTTTTGCATCGTTCCCCAAAATAAAATATACAAATGTGATGTATTTCAAGCTGTCATTAAAGAAACGTCTAATGAAAATTTATACTCTAACCATGTTTCTACATAGGGAGAGGTGTTACTTAACATTAATAGAATAATTGATAGTCAATTCAAACCAATTATGAGGTGTTTTTGTTTCTTTGTTTTTTCTTTCTGGATCTGAAGAACAAATTGTGCAATTTAAATTTCTTGCTTAAGACTCCATCTAAGTATAAATGGTTTCAGTAGAAGACTTGAAACTCTACCTAAGTACTTCTCCCTGTCTAGAAGCCTTTATTAAAGCCAGAGTTGATTAACCATATTAAGGAAAGGTGGCTTAAACTAGAAAAAGCCATAGACAATCTGAAGTCTAAAGAGTTTTTCAATTGCTCCCAGAAGAACTGGTAAGGTTTTAGCATTATCTTCAGTCTAGCTTAACATTTGTACTTATACTTTCCTATCAGAGTGGTTTTTAGACAGGAGATTTTCGGCTCTGTAATTAGCAATTCACACTGGAACCGTTGACATTTAATGACAGCATTGCTAAGACAATAATAATATGAGAAATACTAAAGTTGAATGCAGTATTTCTTGACACACCTCTGGATACCTTCTGATTGGCTGAGACACAATTATATATGAGGAGTGAATAATTCATACAGAAATGAGTATGTGTGTACAGCAGGCATTTACAGCAGGTCCTTCTAGTTAGGTCAAGTTCAGCTGTAGCTGCTGATTTGGAGCCAAATGAAATGGGCAGCAACCCTAAAGAATATCATCAGAGACTGCTCTAGACTCAAAGGGCTCTCCACGTTCTGCATCTTGGGCATCTTTTTCTGCTGTTCTTGATTGGACCAGTCTCAGAATAAAGACAATGGCATTTTATCCACTGCAAATTGCTGGGCTGGTTCTCGGGTTCCTCGGCATGGTCGGGACTCTTGCCACAACGCTTCTGCCTCAGTGGAGAGTGTCAGCTTTCATTGGCAGCAACATCATTGTCTTTGAGAGGCTCTGGGAAGGGCTCTGGATGAACTGCATCCGACAAGTCAAGGTCAGGCTGCAGTGCAAGTTCTATAATTCCTTGTTGGCTCTCCCACCTGTCTTGGAAGCAGCTCGGGCACTCATGTGTGTGGCTGTTGCTCTCTCTTTGATTGCTCTACTTATTGGCATCTGTGGCATGAAGCAGATCCAATGCACCACTTCTAATGAGAGGGTCAAAGCTTACCTTCTGGGAACTTCAGGAGTCCTCTTTATCCTGACGGGCATCTTCGTTCTGATTCCAGTGTGCTGGACAGCCCATATCATCATCAGGGATTTCTATGACCCAACCATCAACACAGGTCAGAAAAGGGAGCTGGGAGCTGCCCTTTTCCTAGGCTGGGCGAGTTCTGCTGTCCTCTTCATTGGCGGGGGTCTGCTCTGTGGATTCTGCTGCTGTAACAGAACTAAAAAATGGAACAGATATCCAGCCCCAGCTTGCGGCGCGCGACTAACAGATAAGCGAAGGAATGTGAGAGTGCATAGTACGACCTCCACCAGTTATGTCTAATATTTGTTTTTAGCAGCAGCTATGGATTATGATTGATGTGCTTTACAAAGTTCTGACACAACCTGTAAGTATTCCAGGCAGGAGAACTTGCTGTAGGACTAGATTGAAATTGAGATGAAGATTTTAATTTTTCACCGGAGGCAGGCATGCAAATGATATATGTAGACATTTTCATCTCCTGTATATTAAGTTTATTTGCTATTATTGGACTCAATCCCCACTCCAATTTGTGTGGTCAAAAATCAAGTATATGTTCAATCATCAATATGCAATGATGGACTACTCTTTTGACTATCATATATTTTCTGATAAGAAATCTAAAATTGTCATTGATACTTCACAGCAATAAAACCTACACATATTTTTAAATATAGCATTGTTTTCTCAAAGTTATTTCTTATACTTACAGTAAAAGCTAAGTAATGTTATTTTTAAGCAATCATTCTGGAAAAATTGTATTTATCACAAAGTAATTTGGGTTGAATTTACCAAACTATGGAAATGTCTATTCAATACAAAAGGGTTTTTTATTATTCCTTTAGGAAACTCACACTAAATTAAACACTTTTAAGGATAAGGGGGCTATGATTTATCTTAAGACATGTAAGAAGATGGAATTCAAAGTCTCTAATTTCTACAGGTAAACCTACTTAGAAATAAACATTCAGAAGAAGATAATTCATAAATGAAAAGTAGTAGTATCATAGCTTTGATTGCCACCTTCAAGCAAAGAGAAGTATCTCTGGATGAGCCATGTCGGAAGACCAGCACAAATCTCTTCAAGAGGATACACAGCATGACTGGTGAATTTAGGGTTAGGTCGAAAGGAATGGTTTCCATGCCTTGATTTAATCGTTAGTCAATGTGCAAGCCTAAACATGCAAAGCAAAATAAAGAATCAGAGCAATGATTCAGGCAACTAGTCAGGGTTAAATAAACACCTCTTTTTATTCTGTAATAAACGAATAGCTATGGTGAAGGCATCTTGTTTTACTTGAATCATATGCATTATTTTCGTAATTCTTCACTCTCCATGTGTATATACTACTAACACCATTAAAAGTGGTTGGGGGTTGGGGCTAGGAACTGGTACACAATGTTTATGAAGAAAGATTGCTTTATGAGTTGCTTATGAATAGCCCCAATATATTGCAAATCAATGTTTATATATTCAATTTAAATTATTATAATATTATATTTATTTTGTAATAAAACCATTTACAGTACAAAATTACAATAAGACATTAGAATTGTTTATCAAATATTTATTGCATCCTTTTCTTTATAATAAAATAATAAAATAGTTACATATTACAATGATTTGGATACATTTAATTACGAGGCCATTTGGAGAATGAATTTCTGTCCTTAAAATTTCTGTTGTGGCTCAGTGGTAGAGTGCTTGTCTAGCACGTGCGAGGCCCTGGGTTCTATCCTCAGCACCACATAAAAATAAATAAAATAAAGGTATTGTGTTCAACTACTTCTAAAGAAGAAAGAAAGCAAGAAAGCAAGAAAGCAAGAAAGAAAGAAAAAAAGAAAGAAAGAAAGAAAGAAAGAAAGAAAGAAAGAAAGAAAGAAAGAAAGAAAGTTAAAGATCACTTAGTAACTCTAGAACATTAAAATAGCAATAACTCAAAGAACGATCTTGATGTCAAATCCTACCTTCATTCTACAAAATATCAGCAAGTCTTCAGGAACTCAAACCTGGGTTAATATAAAACTTAATTAAAAATACCAGTAGTATGTAAATCACAAGGACCAGATAAGTGTAAAAATCTTCAAATAACAGTAATAAAAATACAAAAATAGTGATTTATGATGGATTTTTCCTAAGATTATTTTCTTTTAACAGAAATGCCTAATATTGGTTCTATTGAGAAGAAGTCATTTTTTATCTGACATAGTCAAATAAGTAAGCCATCAAGAGAAGCAAGATATGTGTTTAAAGGCTGTCTTGGAATCATTTGTCTTATGTTTTAGATCACCCAGAAGTAATTAGCCTTACAAGAATTGGTTTTTCATTTTAAATGAGGTATGTTATCCTGTCAGCCAGAGGATCAGAGTGCACCAAGGTTTAACACTGCGTGGAATCATAACATAAATTTAAATATGATATGGGGCAAAAATTCAGGAACTAACAATTCTGTTGCTTGCTCTCTCATTAATCCAGTTATGGTTTTGAAAAATTATTTTTACATCCCCTCCCCAACTTAATATTTCTCTACTTCTCCAAAAAGAAATTTTAATAATTTTTAGTAAGTTTCAAAAAGCATTAAGGATGTAATTCTCATACCACAAGCCCAGGTGTACAAGGAATTTATCTTTATTTTATAAAACTTAACTGAAATCCAACTTCTTGGATACTTTCTCACATATTACATAGTTCTTGAGATTTTATGCAGGTCTCAACAGCATCTGGGGGGTGAGTTCAGGAGATCAGCCCAAGATAATCAGTCCAAGCAGGTATGCAAGACCATGTCCATTTGGCCTTTTGGTTTCTCACTTTTTCAATTCTGTCATACTTGGCCATCTTTTATGAGACTCTCTTGTTCCAGGTGAATCAGTGGATTTCACCCCTACTTACATACTATAGTGCAGAACTTTGAAAAAATAGTGTAGCCAATGTTGAGATGATTTCTGCCAAGTGTTATGGACAAAAACTGGATCTGATGACCTGGCTAACAGCTGTCCACAGCATTGTGAAGGAAATTGCTGCTTCCCCAAAAGATGTTGTGTGTATCTGTGTGTGTGTGTGTGTGTGTGTGTGTGTGTGTGTGTGTTTGAGGTACTGGAGACTGAACTCTGGCCCTTGCATATGCTAGGCAAGGTCTCTACCACTGAGTACATCCCCAACCTCCAAAGACTAATTTTTTTTTTAATGGTACTGGGGATTGAACTCAGGGGCACTTGACCACTGAGCCACATCCCTAGTCCTATTTTTGTATTTTATTTAGAGACAGGGTCTCCGTGAGTTGCTTAGTGACTTGCTTTTGCTGAAGCTGGCTTTGAACTCACATTCCTCCTACCTCAGCCTCCCAAGCCACTGGGATTACAGGTGTGTGTCACTGTGCCCAGCTCAAAGATTGCTTTTTGGTGTCACCTCCACAAGCTCCCTTCTCCCTCATTTTCTAAAACATTGTACAATTCCACAAAGACTTTCAAAAACAAAAATGCATAAAGACTGAAACACTTCTAGTCTATTATTTCTGCCTTGGATTTTGCTATATTCTCCACAAAATGCATTGCAGACTACATTTTGGAATTGGGACCGGGGAAAGGAAGAAATATGAGGGAGGAGAAAAATAAATTAACATCATATAATACCCATCAACACTTTTTAAGATGACTTTAAAAGTGACTCTTATTAGTTCACAAATTTAATTAATTGTATATTAACAATTATTTTAATCTACAAAAATCCTTGATATATTTAAAAGGGTTTTGTTGGGTTCTCTTTCTTCTCAAAATCACCATAAAAATATAGAGCATAGACTTTATTATCGACAGACTTTATTATCCAACTAAAATAATCAAAACTTACAAACATAATGACTTAACCAAAGCCATGAAGCTAATTTGGAGAAATAAAAATATTCAGCAATAGTACCAAGTCTAGACTTAATAAATACTTGAGAAATGATCAAGAAACAATGTACACACAGTATAATATTTTGAGATTTTAGCTAATAGATTCCTTCTTCCCCCAGCTAAGAGATTAAAACAACGGAGCTCAGAAGTGTAAAGAAATGTCAATTTTTTCATAAGAAAAGAAGAAATTTTGAGAAGAATCTGGGAAAATAATGGTATGGCTCAGTCAGGGCACTCATAATTATGCGATGATTTCTTTTGAGTAAGGTAAAATCAAAAGGAGCTGGGTTAAAAGGGTCTAAATGCTAATGTGTCTGTGGGAGAGAGGAAACTCAGGGTGCTCTACTTAGTCCAGTTCTCAGAGACCTGGACACAAGGATATGATAAACTGACAGCTTGAGAATCCAAAGATAGGTGGCGTGTGTTCTGATTCAGGTGGATCCAAGGGTATTGATAGTCTTCCCCATGACCTCCTTGTGTCAGGGGATGAGACATCTCAGTGATGCATTTAGTCTGACAGACCAAAACAAAAATCTTGCCAAGTTTCCTACAGTTAGAATGCCATGGGAGCAGAAAAGTATTTCCCACCCTTCGTGAGAGTGCCACATAGACAGACAAATGGCCAGCCGATGACATGTTTGTCCTCAAGTCATTCCTCGCCTCTCCTCTGCACTAAGCAGGGTCCCATGGAGGTTGACACTCAAGGCTACGAACGCGTGCTGTGCCAAGAATGAGTGGGAAGAGGGTCCTTCCCAGGTATGGGCAATTAAGAGGGTCTCCATTCCACAAATCATTTAAAAACAATAGTGAATTAGCTAAATATTGAGTCTTTTATTACTCTCACTTGTTGATCTTCTAGACAATGTTAGTGATAAAGCATCCCTGCTTTTTAAAAAAAGAAATGAGAGAGAAAGATAAGATAAAGGAAATGTTGACCTAAGGTTTAAACAATCATAGAAAAAGACAGCCACCTATAAACCAGGTGAGAGGCCTGGAAATAGATCTTTTCCTCAGAATAAACCAATTCTGTAGACATCTTGACTTTTAGTTACCAGAACTGTGAGAAAATAAATTTCTGCTTTTTCATACCCAGTCTGTGATATGGCAGCCCTAGCAAAATTAGACAGAAAAAGTAGATAGATGATTGGTAGATATATAGATAGATGATAGATGATTGACACAGAGATGATTGGTGCATAAATAACAGATAGATAATATAGAGACAGATGATAGAGAGATAGATAATAAATGAAGACAGTGAAGATGTTGACAGATGGTAAAGTGATAGATACATTGATAGAGCATGAACATATATAGTAGAGAGATACATGGTAGATAACAATGATAATGACAGGTGATCAGATAGGGAGGTAGGTAGGTGGCTAGGTAGGTAGATAAACAGTTGATACAGACATAGGTAGATGTTGTCTATGCTGCATTATCCTAGCACATGTGGCCTTGACAGCTTAAATTTGCTGCAAATGTTAATAGAATGAGTTTTCCTCTAGGTTCAAATTCAGCAAGACACATTTCACAGATAATC